GGTTTCGGGGGCTTAGGGTTTAGGGTTCAGGGTTTAGGGGGTTCAGGGTGTAGGGGGTTTGGGGTTTAGGGTTTAGGGTTTAGGGTTCAGGGACTTTGGGCTTTGAGGAATTCGAACCGTGAGCAATCCGCCAAATCTGGAAGCTAAACCGCCTTACAGAGCTCGGCCAGTCCCTCGTTCCCAAGTAGTGCCGCGGCGCGAAGAAAGAGCAATAATCAACTAAAGCCCTAGCCGTAGCCCCTGAAACCCAACACCACCCCAAACCCTAGGCCCTAGCCCCAAGCCCCCCAGGTCGAAACCCACAAAACCACCGATTTGAACGACCATTCAATAGTCGTCTCTCTAGGTGTCCATGTACCGGCGTTCTTTGGGCTCCTTCTCGATTTCCTTATATAGCCCTGTTTTGGGCTACAGGCGTAGAATCATAGAACCCGGGTCCTTGCGGGTACTTTAGGACCCAAGAGGTTTACACCAGACACTCGCAAGATCTCACCCTAAACCCTAAACCCTAAACCCTAAACCCTAAACCCAGAACCCTAAACCCTAAAACCCCCGAGTTTGGACCCGTGAGCCCCTACCTTTTAAGCGATCCCCATTCTGGATCCTCCCAGGGGTCTAGTTACTACCCATACGCCCCATAGTAGTTCCTTTTTTGGGGCTCATATTTTTTTCCATCCTATAAGGTAATCCCCAAAAAAGAACTACTATGGTGGGGCCTATGGGTAGTTATGTAGGTACACCCGCAACCCTAAACCCTAAACCCTAAACTCTAAACCCTAAACCCTAAACCCTAAGCAGGGAGTCTTCGAAAAGGCCTTCTCGGCGAACAGGCCGCCATAGAGACCCAACCTCGACCCGGGGGTTCTGCTGTTTCGGGTTTGTAGGGTTGTACCTATAGTCTCCATTGTAGTTCCATTTTGGGTTCAAGCAATTTTATATTAAGGATCCTAAAGGGTAGCCCCACAAAGGGACTACAATGGAGACTATTGGTAAAGTGGCAGAAGTTGTAGGGTTTTGAGGTTATATTAGGGTTGAAGGTTTAGGGTTTAGGTTCCTAGACCCTAAACCTTCAACCCTAATATGACCCTTCATGGGTGTTATAGGGGTTTAGGGTGAAGGAGTCAGAGGGTTCAGGGTTACAGAAATTGCGGGGTTTAGGGGATATGGGCTTGGGGGTTCGGGGCTAGTGGGCTTAGATGGGTTTAGGGCTTTCGGGCTATACCCTAAACCTTATACCCTAATGTCAGGTCCTTGATAATTTGCATCGAGTTTGGAGCTTTTTATAGTAGAATTATGTTAAGGAGCCACAAAAATAATGTAGGTAGCTATCAAGGCCTCTATACTACCCTAATATAGGGTTCAGGGGCAAAGAGGTCGCAGGGTCAAGCGGAGCCCAGGGCTTCGGGCTGAAACTTTCGGGAGGGTTTAGGGTTTAGGCTTTAGGGTGTTCGCGGATTGAAGCTTTCGCATCGGGGCGCCGGACTTTGCTTGCCGCGCTGTGGGTGAGGGGTGTACCCCTAGGCCCCATAGTTCCTTTTTGGGATTACCTCATAGGATCGTAAATATGAGCCACAAAAAGGAACTATTATGGGGCCCACTAAGGCTGAACATCTCCGAGATGGGGGGTTTCGGTTTTGAGGTTTGGGATTTTGCTTCCGAGGTCCAGGGAACGAGGGGTTCAAGTTCAAAGCAAGTAACAACAAACCCCAAGGGTCCATGTGCCCAAAGAGTATATACTTTTGCCTTGAAGTAACCCCTATATAGGTACTCTGGGGCCAAAGTATCTACCGTTTGGGCACATGGACCCTGAGGGAAGGTTTAGGTACATGAGCTTGCTCAGGTTCTGGGTGTAGGGTTTCGGGATCGAAGGTCAGCGCATGGAGCCCTGTAGACGGTCCACCCTAAACCCTAAACCCTAAACCCTGAACCTTAAACCCTGAACCCTCACCCCTAAACCCTAAACCCAAAACCCAAAACCCTGAACCCTAAACCCTAAACCAAAACCCAAAACCCCAAACCCAAAACCCTGAACCCTAAACCCTAAACTCTGAACCCTAAACCCTAAACCCTAAAGTGGCTGCACAGGGACTCCTTTCAGGCCCAGGTCTGCCCTTTTTGAGTACATGGCGCCTTACACCCTACCTGAAAAGAACCCAACACCCACATTTCTGTAGGCTCTTATTATAAACCCTAATATGGGATTTATAGGGACCCTACAAAAAAGTAGGTTTGGGGCTCTTAAGGTAAACCCTAAACCCTAAAATGTCAATTCACTTGAACATGTTTAAAGCCATGTTGCTTTCGGCACACCCCGTATAGAACCCCTAGGAACCCATAACTACTGAGACGTGAGACACTGTTGACACTGTTAGAAACCCTTTTGGCAACCTCAGAGAGCCCGATGTAGCACCCTCAAGTGCCCCCGAAACCCTCAACACTAAATTACTAAACCCTCAACCCTTAAACCCTAAACCCCTAAACCCTAAACCTCTAAATTCCCTAAACCCCTAAACCCCTAAACCCCCAAATTCCCCAAACCC